GATTCTTTGAGGATGGGAGTAGTAAGTAAGGCGAATTTACTCCATTCCCTCAGCCGATCCATAGAGGGCATTGACAGGACAGAATAATTGACTGTAGAGGAGGGGCTGGGCCGAATCCCAATGGGGATCTTTTTCCTGGAGGGCCAATGGTGAGGGCATCCACGATCCGCATATGGCGAACCGATCTGGAAGGGTCAATTTAGCTCATCAGCTTTATCTGTGTCTCTCATTCTCATTCTCTTTCTATCTATCTATCTCTCTCTCTATATCTCTCAAATACAAAAAAAATTCAAAAACTCTGAGCTACATCCATTTACCTAATGTTCCCAACTTCTCTAGCTCTATCTCTCGCTCTCTCTCTGTCCCGCTCGCTCTCTCTATCTCTCTCTCTCGCTCTCTCGCGCGCCCTCTCTCTCTCTCTCTCTCTCTCTATCTCTCTCAACCTCAATCTCCATCCCTCCCACTCTCCCTCTCTCTCTATATATATCTCTCTCTCTCTCTCTCTCTCTCTCTCTCTCTCTCTCTCTCTCCCTCTAACCTTCAAGATTCCTATCCAACAAAAGTTTAGTCTCAAAATCGTCATCATCCTCCCCCATTGGATTGAGCAGAGCCTCCAGCCACCCTCAGCCATCCGACATAAAGATAAGTGTGCAGCACAGAGAGCGTACACTTCGAGATGTTCTCCTGAAATTTCGATACCTAAATCCTCCACCCAACAATTACTCCAAAATGCCCCTTTCCCATTGTTGATAGTCGAGAAAAGATGTTTGACGGGAGACGAGGCATAAATAGAAATAGGGAATGGACGGCGAGGCTGATGGAACTGGGGTTACATTATGGAGGGGCACGCAGTCGCTAGTGGGCGGTTTGGGCCAATTGGCTGCCTCCTCCATCCGCAGCACCTGAAATGTGGGGGTGAATCGTTTCAGGTAGGGTGTTACAGAGGGGTGAAGGTGCGAGGTTAAATTAATCTGAACTCCTTGAAGAAATTTTAGTAAATGTTAATTAAAACTACGGGCCCCGAGAACCTGACTTCACCAAAATTCGCCAATTAACATTCAGCAGAAGTCCCCAAGATTCAGACGATATTTTTGAGTTTTTAGAAGTGGTGAGGAATGCTTGCCGGTCTCTCTCACCCCCTCTCTCTCACTCTCCCTCCCTCTGTCTCTCTCGCGCTCTCTCTCCCTCTCTCTCCCCCCGCTCTCTTTCTCTCTCTCTCTCTCTCTCTCTCTCTCTCCTCTCTCTCTCTCTCTCTCTCTTTCTCTCCCTCCCTCCCTCTCTCGCTCTCTCTTGCTTTCTCTCTCTGCCAGGTCGAACGGGTCCAACAGGTTCAGATCAACCTCATCCGGCCCTTCTCAAAGGCACGGGCAAGGGCATAGGAATGAGATTTTGATGAGGCTCTGGTCCACGTCATCTTCAAGCAGTTCAGGAAGTAAGTAATCATCCAGTATCCACCACCTCCTCCTCCTCACCTGCCACATATGATTGTATTGGATATCCGACTGGATGAGCCCCTCTTTCTTGGCCATATGGATGGCATTTTGTGCCCAGACAGTCGGCATCAATACCTGGCCATGGTGTACGTGTTGTCGTAGTTGAGATACGTCTCCATTTCGTCGGCCGAGAAGAAGTCTGAAAATCGACGTTTAGTTGATGTGGGAATTCTCGCTCACTAGCCGTGACTGTCGACTCGATCGTCGGAAATCGTTTGCGCACCTGTGTGCTGACGTCGCTGCAAACATGGAATTTTGGTTCTGGTTCATTAGCGGGCGGGGATGAGTCTGAAGAACTAACCGGAATACGAGAAGCTGCATCTGGACGGCATAGCGGACAATGTTCCTTCGCAACATGCGTGCGCGTTCTGAGGTTCCGTGGATGTGGAAGGCGGCTGTAAGGGCCAAGCTGAAATGGGGTCAGGCTCAGCTTAGGCTTAGGCTTAGGCTTCGGCTGAGGCTTAGGCTCAGACTAAGGCCTCGGCTCACCCTTAGGCTTAGGCTTAGGCTCACGCTGGTCCCCTTTAAAAGCACTCCCAAGGCCCCTTGTTGTTCCCCTTTAGGAAGTCTACTAGTCTACTAGTAAACAAATCCCCGATCAACAGGCCAACTGATTTTCCATATACTTCCTAACCTCACTCACTTGTCAATAAGGCCAATATTGTTCAACATGTGCGTCCACCGGGCGACGACGGCCGTCACGAAGAAGGACAGGATGAAGCTGAGCGGGATCATATCCATCTTTTGGTTCAGCTGGGTGGAGAGCCGAGCGGCGGTTCTGAAAAGAAATATAAAATAAGTAAAATAAGAAAAAAATAAGGTTATGAAGAGGATACCTCTGCGCCTCGGTGCCCAGTTGGAAATTGTAGATGTAGGCGACCAAGGCGAAACACAATAACCAAAGTGATAGTTCGGAGAGGAGCGCTTTCCAGATTGAGCCGCGCCATCTGGAAATTTCCAAGAACTTTGGGCCTAGGCTTAGATTCAGGCGTAAGAATAGGCTTAGACTTAGGCTTAAATTGGCGTAGTTTTGGACGATTTTTGCCCGGAAAAAAAGCTTAGGCTTACTTTTTGTGCCGTGGCTTGGCATAGGCTTGGGTTAGGCCTGGCTTAGCCTTCGCTGAAGCCTTGCTTTAGCCTGGGCTTAGGCTTAGGCTTGGGCTTGTTCAGATTGAGTAATTTCTTGGAAATAAAACACTGCGTGAAAACTTACTCATTTCATTCCGCGGGAAAGAGAGAGATGGGGATGATAGAGAGACAAGGAATACGACGAGAGAGAGCGAGAGAGAGAGGGAACGAGAGAGAGAGAGAGAGATCAAGATAGCGAAAGATCGCCTCACCTGAGCAACAGTCGTATCCGGCTGATTGGCGATGAGTCGGAGATCAACAGGTGATAATTGACAGTCATTTATCGCGAAGAAACACTTTAAAAAGTAAAGAGAGAATTATCTATTACAGAAGTTCCGACCGTCCCGCCCACCCCCAAAAAATGATTTTCACGCGCTGTGCGCGGAACACGGAAGCTCCTAGCAGAGTTCGGGAGAAATGATGGACAACCCACCAAAACGGGGAAAGATCGCCCAGAAAAGCGAAAAATGATGATCTTTATCGAAGGCCACGCACTTCACTTCACTTGTCAATTTATTCCCATGGTTGGGGGAAGTCGTTTCCCATCCTCCCCACTCACCATCACCCGACAATGGGTTTATGTAGAAAATCTATAAAATATTGGGAAATTTGGCGACTACCCGATAATGGAACAATTCACGTTATAACATAGATTTTTGGCTCCCCAAAATCATTGAAACTTGAATAATCCGATAAGAACTAAATATGTAAAGCCTAAAAACCTCAAATCTTTAAACATAAAACTTATACTTAGATTTATTTATTAACGGTTAGTATCCCTTTCTCGGTCTCTCTCTATCTCGCACTCTCTCTCTCTCTCGCTCTCTCTCGTTCTCTCTCTCTTGATAGCCTTGGATGCAGATATTTTTCAGCTATACGTAGCCCTATACAGTGTCTCTGTACTGTGCTCTCCATCAGGGGCAAATTTACGGCCTTCGCCCCCGGATATTGGACTGCTGCGTAGTCGCTTGCTTGACTGCAAAGGGTCGTGATAGTCGACCAGAAAACTTGTGACACACACGGCTTCACGTTGTAACCAATTTATTCCGACGGTTTGTACATGGAGATTTGGGATTGGACCAGGGAGGGAGATAGAGAGAGAGAGAGAGAGAGAGAGAGAGAGACAGCAAGAGATAACCTGACAATGACAAAGTATTATGCGTAATGTACAGAGGATCGTTGTGGGTTTTTTGGCGTCGCCTAGAGCTCGTCGTGTTTTTTGGATGGGCGAAACTGAAAATGAAATGTAAAATGCAAAATTATCAAAAATGCCCTACCAATCCAATTTTATAAGTGGGCAACCCGGTACGGTAGTAGGGGCAATCTTCGAAGATGTCCGGGACGAAGCAATAGCCCACGGATTGGCAGAAATTGGACGAGGACTTCTCCAGAGGATCAAACTGGAAATAGCGGAAATGCCGAAGGCTCAGCCAAAGCCAAGCCAAAGCCTAAGCCCAAGCCAAGCCTAAACCCAAGCCTAGGCCTAAGCCTTTCAGACAACCCTCCCAACACCAACCTCGCTCTTCAGCTGATCGCTCACTTTCCGCAGGTGCTCAAGGGCTCGAAGACAACTCTTTTTGAAAAGCCCGGCCCTTGGGCAGAGATCATTTAGCAAATAGGAATGCGCAAATTCCTAGATATAGTGGTGCATTATTGGAATGTTTAATTTTTCCTTACCCGCCCCTTTAACAAGATCATCGACGAATATTTGATACATAGGGCACAATAGAATGAAATGGCCGGCGACGGGTTTGGGTTGTCAAATGGAGGTGTGGAAGAAGACGAGGGAGACGCTGAAAATGAAGGTTCTTGCTGCAACCTTTTTTTGGATTGGAGTGAGATTTCGGTACATGCGATAGCACATTTGAAGTAGCATTTTTTCGCGGATTTCTAATGTATTTTCGAAAATTGGTTAAAAAGCTACAACTCTCTTTTTCGCGAATCACCGAAATACTTAAGTTTACACCCTTTTAAAAAATTAGCAAAATACTTTTAGTATAAAGCAGACAATTTCGGAGATAAAAAACGTGGAAATTTTGAATAAACGACCTCACGAACCCGGGGAATGCGAAAACCGGATATCACCTGAAGTTGTGGGGTGCATTGTTGTACTGTGGAATGGGCGGGGGGAGGGAGAAGGCCGGCGATGTCCTCCTACCGCCAACGATGTCGCCAGGAGCAGGGAGAGGATGAGAACGCTGAAAAAGAGGCCTATGCTTAGGCTGGCTTAGGTTTGGGTTGAGTCTTATGACTAGGCTTAAGTTTAGGTATAGCCGACGGACGTCGATCTTAGTCTTTGCTTAAGCTTAGTTGTATGCTTAGGCTTAGGCTTCACGTAGGCTTCGTTTTAGATTAAGCTTAGGCTCTGGGTCCGCCGGAACCTCGAAATTCCTCAAAAAGTCTCTGCTAGCCTGCCACCAAAGTCGTTTCATTTTTGAACCTGAATAGCCTGTGCTCAAAACGAATCAAGATGCAAATAATAGTAGCAAATATTGTCGAAAAAAGCGATTCCGCAATTGACTCTGCTACCTGGCCGAAGATCAAAACCCGCTAGAAACCAATTCCTAAATATTCTCAGCTAGCCTGCCCTCCCTCTCAATAAACCGACCGCATCGAGAAGGCATTGAAGGGGTGCGGGACCGTGAATGGGTTCGACGACGTGTCGTAGGCGTTGGCAGGCCGCCCGTTCCAACAAACAAAATTCGGCGAATAAAATGGAAGGTGGGGAGAGAGAGCAGAAACCCCGGTTGAGTAGAGCTATCAATTAAATGGGGGGCTTATCACGGAGGGCAGAAGCCGACGGCAGCCAGGTATGCTCCCGTTTTTCCGGGTGTCCCGCCCATCTAACACGCCTAACCCGCTGAAAAACACGCATCAAATGGTCGGGGCTTGGATTTATGGGTGGTAGGGATACCGATTAATTGTCGCGACCCATTTAAAATCAGTATAAACAAAGCCTGAGCTAAGCTTAGGCCTAAGACCAATCTTAAGCGCAAGTTAAGCCCAGGCCTAAGCCTATGCGAAGCTTAAAGACTACCAGAACGATGGAACGCGCACTGTCACCCCGAGGGTGCTGCCCCCAAGAACGCGCGGAGAGATGCGTCATTAGTGGTGCCCCGTACTGGGCAAAGGCCCACTGGGGTTTGGGGCGTCTCTGACTCGCTTCCCCACTTGGCCCTGTGGTGTAGTGGCTAGCGCGTCGGACTGTGGAGCGAACCATTGCGGGTTCGACTCCCGCCCGGTGCGCAACTTTCTTGCTCTCAACGGAATTTCATCGTTCTGACGGTCTTTAAGATAAGCCTAAGCTGAGTCAAGCCTAAGCTTAAGCTTAAGCCAATCCTTAGCGGAAGTAAGTTTGAGCCAGCGCAACCCCAGAATAAGGTAAGCCTAAGCTAAGCTTAAGCAAATCATCAGTCGAATGTAAGCTAAAGATAAGCCTAAGCCCAGCCCAAACCTGAACCAAACCAATCCTAAGCTTGTTCCAAGCCAGGGCAAGTTGGAGTGTTTCTTAACTATTTTTTGGTAAGTACCGTACGACTATCCCAACCCAGCTACCGTATTACCATAATCCGATAATGTATGAAATGGATAATCCCCCCTCTAGCTCCTAGGCCCTGATTTGTTGCCCTCTCGCCGTCAACCGCCGATTCAACGGCTTATCACCCCCCTCTGATTCCTCTCAAAAAGACGCCGGCTGCGCTAGTTCACACGGGATTTTTCACCCTCAATCTGTTCTCCCCTTTTTGCCAACGGAAAAAATGAGGATTTGGGGTGTCGCGGGCTTCTAAATCTGAGGGCCGAATTGAGTCACCGCTCCTCGGCTGACTTAGCTTAGGTTCGGGCTAGGCTTAGGCTTAGGGTTAGCTTATGCTTAGGCTCAAACATAGGCTGAGCTTAGGCTCAGGCTTAGGCTTAGGCTTCATCTTCGGGTTATGCTTACTGTAAAGTGTTTTTACTCAACTTGGAGTTTAGATTCGGGACCAAGTGCATCTTGTGCAGAATTTTTCGCTGATTCCGAATATGTTTTCCAAATTTGCTACGGACTGTTATTTAAAAAATCATTTTTGTTAACAATTAGGCCGAAAAATGCCAAAAATTCAGACGCTGGCCCACTATTCCTTGTTTGGGGCTATGGTTCTCAGGGGCCCTGAAGTACCCTCTGACAGCACCCTTCCCAGTTGGCACCATGGTGCATTGGCAAAGTACTCGCTTGCCAAGCGCAGGGCGGCGGTTCGTACCCCCGCCCTGCATCATTTCTTTTGCTTTTTGCATAAAAATTTCATTTTTTCATCTAAAATGCTTGTTTTGAGCTGTAGGATGCTTGTCCAGCCAACGTCTAGTCAATTTTGACGTTGAAATTAATGAAGAAAATCGAAAACTATAACGATACCGTCATTTTGGTGAAAACTAGCGTCATAATTGCCGTATAACTTTCAGAATAACGGTCCGTAGCAAATTTGAAAAACATATTCGGAATCAGCGAAAAATTCTGTACAAGATGCACTTGGTCCCGAATCGAAACTCCAAGTTGAGTAAAAACACTTTACAGTTGGACTTGAGTCTAGGCTTAGGTATAGGTTAGGCTTAGGCTTGGGCTTGAGTCGAGGCCTTGGCTTGAATTTGCGCGTATGCTACGCTTCTGTTTGGGTTGGGCTTGGGCTTAGGTAGAGCTTAGGTTTAGGCCTAGGCTTTGGCTTAGTCTTGAGTCTCGGCTTAGGCTTAGGCGGGGCTTAGGCTTAGGCCTGAGCTCTGCGTTGACTTAGG